ACACTCGGCTCTAATTATGCACGACTTTCAGAGCGAAATATTCAACAGTGTGTGGTCACACAGATGAATTATATATTCTCTGCTGCAGGACTTCTGTTCAGGAGTGGGATTTGATGTTTTGTGGGCCGAGATGGAACGGGATCTGGGCTAGAACAGTTCGGGAAAACAGAAATGGAGCAAGATGAGGTTAGAGGTGCAGGAAGTGGAGAGTTTTCTAAAGCTCGCAGCCGTCTGGAGCACCGAGGTGCATGAAAGATGAATGCAGACCTTACAGATGGTGTTTTTTCATTTTAAAATGTTTTATTCAGAAACTCCAAATGTTTCTGTCTAAATCTCTTTTCAGTCATTTGGAGCTGGTTCACCGAGGCACGACGATTCATGCATTCATCGTCTGTTCAAACGGTTCTTTAAAACATGTGAAACAATGTTTTCCTCTGGTTCTGGCGAAAAATTTCACTTACAACAAATGAATGACAGATACTTTGACTGATCATAAAATTAGAGTCATACGTTTTTGGTGACTCCTTTCTCTGAGCTGCAAACGAAGTCTAGAGGGCGACTATGAAGTCATGATCTAAAACCCACAACACGAGGCAGTAACAGACATTCCAGTCCGACTCATTCTTTAAGCCCCTCTTCACACAGGATGAAGACTCTGGTACTGAAGCAGGAGTAGACCCACTGACCCCTGACCCCTGCCTCGGCTACAATCATCATGGGCGAACTTGTTGGACCACGGGTGTAGAAGAGAGTCTGTAGGGCAGCCATCATCCTGCCAAGTCCACCTGCTTTCTGCTTCATCACATTTGAGCATGTTGAGTCCTGCAGAAGCTCGTTAACTCGTCATTTATGTGAATCAGGTGTGTCAGAGGAAGGAAACAGCTCTGATCTGGCTTAGCTTCCCTACATGGGCTACCTGTTAAATTCAGAATAGATTTTAAGATCCTTCTTCTCACATATAAAGCTCTTAATAATCAAGCTCCATCATGTATCAGTGATCTGATTGTTCCATATGTTCCTAACCGAGCACTTCGCTCTCAGACTGCAGGTCTACTGGTGGTTCCCAGAATATCTAAAAATAGGATGGGAGGCAGATCTTTTAGTTATCAGGCTCCTCTCCTGTGGAACCAGCTCCCAGCTTTAGTCCGTGAGGCAGACACTTTGTCTACTATTAAGAATAGGCTTAAAACATTTTTATTTGATAGGGCCTGTGGTTAAAATCTTATGTTAGCCTAGATCTGGACAAGTGGGGGAGTAGAGGGAGGTGGAGTGTACAGTCGGTAAAGATGGCTCTCCCTTGCCCTGACTCCAACATGCCTCCATCTAAATAGGATAGGTTATCCAGAGTTATCTCTGTAGTTATGCTGCTATAGGCTTAGACTGCTGGAGGACACTGACCACTTTCCACACTCTACTGCTTTCTTCTACAATCTGCTCTTTAACTGTATTATTTCCTGCTATTTCAGCTGTTAACTTTATTTTCTCTCTAAGTGTTTTTCTCCCCAGAAGAAGCTACAACGATGTTCTGCTGAGCTGTGGTGGCCTCATGGAGGGGGCCATCGTCTAGCACACTGCTGCTAACCACTTAAACATTCTCCCTCTCCTGATAATAACTTTTTACTTTCCTTGACGTTGGATGTGCTACTACTAGTTTACCCGTTTAATTATAGATCCACTAGGATAAATACAATAAAGTTTATCTCTCACCAAATAGAATATTTACTAAGACATCACAATATAACTATAGACACACTACTTGGTGTGTGTGTGTGTGTGTGTGTGTGTGTGTGTGTGTGTGTGTGTGTGTGTCTGTTCTGTCTTCTCCATCCCCAGTGAGTCGTGGAGGATGGCTGCTTATACTGAGCCAGGATTCTCTGGAGGTTTCTTCCTGTTAAAAGGGAGTTTTCCTCTCCACTGTCGCTGCATGCTTGCTTAGTATGAGGATTGCTCTGACACTAGTCAGTGACTCGATGCAACCTGCTGGGTTCCTTATATAGGAAACATTATTTCTGATTGGCTTAATGAACTGACCTGGATTGGAATGTTTATTATGTGAAGTGCCTTGAGACGACTCTTGTCGTGATTTGGCGCTTTATAAATAAACTTGAATTGAATTGATCTCAACACGGTGGTCGGTGAACCTCCTTCTAGGGGTGCAAAAAGGGATGAAGACCGTAGCAGCATCACTACTACATACAACACGCTGCAGTCCAGCCAGCTTCTTATCGGTTGTGGAGGTGAGACAGGAGAGTCCCTCATTTATGTAAACAGCTTCTGGTTTTGTTGCGTCACCTGAAGCCGTCAGCGGCACACCTAGCCGTTCCTAATGCCACCCTCGCCCTTTAAAATGATCTTAAACACGTATTCTCTGTGCCGCAACATGGCGCCCCAGACTTCTGGTGATGAGGTAAGATCTGTCATCAGAGCCTAGTGTGTGTGTGTATATGTGTGTGTGTTTGTGTGCGTGTGCGTGCGTGTGTGTGTGTGTGTGTGTGTGTGTGTGTGTGTGTGTGTGTAAAGGTGCACCACAAGGAAAGATTGGATCTGAACCATTAAGTTTAGAGGCCATTCATTGAGCTCTGCAGCAGCTGGGGTCAGAAGGGAGAATTCCCAGTAAATCTCCACAACGACCACAGCGATGAACTGGGGGACAGAAACTGTTTGAGGTGAAGAAATAGAAATCCCAGTTTGCAACATTCTTCCCAGCTCGTTCCAAAGCCTGTTTCAATAATGATTTCACATCCTGTCAACCCACCAGCTGGAATTTAGCTTCCTCTGATACGTGTGGAAGAAGAGCTTTTGCCATTTGAACTATTTTCAGAGCAAATTTAGAGTTTTCTTCTTTTTTCTTGTGTAACTCGACCGTTCTGCATTCCTGCCAGATAAAAATATGTTGTTTGATGAGTGGTTATCAAAGCTGTCAGGGCATTGACTTCCGAGCTGGGAGAGAGGCCTCAGCAGATGCTGGGAAGAGCCTTGGAAATTCCCATCCTACCCAGGGAGGTCACACTAGCAGCTACTGAACCGAAACCCCCGTTCACGGTTAGGACAGCATCTCCCACGTACGGAAGAGCAAACAGGACTTCTTTTGTTCACTGATGTTTAAAATGTGAACATTAGAAACCAAGATGATGCGGAGCTGTTAAGTTGAGCTTCCAGTCGTTGGTGAAAAACTGAACAAAAAGCAGCCCAAAGTGTCTGGAAATACGTCCGCACCAGTTTACTGATTCAGCCCATAAAACCGCCATCATGGCGGCGACACGCACACACACCGCACCACGGGCAGAGCTGGAGGAGCGGTGTGTGCCAGCTGGTTCCTGGTGCTACAAAAGTGGAACGACCTTTTTGTGATTTCCCGGTTCAGATGTGCGACCCGTTTGATACGCAGCCGGTGTGTTGGAGGACTCGGGTGTAACACAGAGCCCAACATCTTGTAATGCTGACTGAAGAGCGCGTTATGTGGTTCTGACCCTTAAACAAAACCAGCGTCACCTTGCCATTTGATGCATTTTAACACTCGAACGGTGCCATTGAAACCTAATAATGTGGCCTCCTGCGGGTGTCTACAGAACGCAGGACTCCACGGCGCTAGCGAGCCTGACTTCCTGCACCAGGATTCATTACCCAGCATTGTGCTTACATAACCAGACAGCGTGCAACGCAAAGCCAGTCAGGGTGATGGCCTCATGCTGGGAAACTGGACGGTCCAATCATCACCTAGGAGTGCATGACATTAGATGTGTGATTGCTGCCTCCGCTCACGTTTGTGTTGATGATCAGAAACCTCCCACGCTGCTGCAGCCAGATCAGACTGTTGTTTGACGCCTGGGATTTTTCAAGCTAATCTTTGAGTTTGGCGTCGAGGCCAAAAACCCGCGGTCACTTCACGCTGGTTAGACGAGTTCACTTTGTTTTTTCTCTCGTTCACTGATCCTCGTTTATCAGCTCCACCACTTCTATGCAGGATGTCAGGATATACCTGATGATAAGACTAATTATTTCCCAGGAAGCCTAAACCATTGTCATGTGGCCATTTTGTACACATATTGGTTTATAATTCTCCGTATGCACCAGATTGTGGCCCAGCTGCTCCCACGAACCCACCGAGGCGCTGAAGCAGCAGAGCAGAGGAGTAATTAGCGTTGAGGACAACAGGCCGATGGTTTACCTCAACGCTGGCCAGCAGGGCTGTTCTGGATCTGCGGGAACATTAGGAGGGTTACGGTAGGAGGCCATCGCTGGCTGCAGGGCTAAAAGCATTAATTACTCATAGGGCCAGCACAGGAGGGCAGATTAGAGTGTAATTGGTGGGTTTGGCTGCAAACTGCATGAATCAGTGAGCACCTCTGCTGACCAGTGCATCAGTGGCTGATTATACGGATCGGGCTCGCTCGCTCCAAGTGCGCCGCAAATAACCTCCTGCTGATAAAAATGCGAGCTGTTTGTTTTGCCCTCTAGTCAAAGAAATGATGCACCCGGTCCAGCTTTGTGGATGTCATGGCTGTGAAACAGGGACTGCAGTAAAGGATGAGGGGACATCACTGTGACCTGGGGTTGGCCTCGGTGGTGTGTTGACAGAGAGCTCAGGGACGACAGGTGATCCCTCTGGTTCTGTCTGAGCGACAGCACCGCTCTACCAGGACCTCGGTTTCACATCAGACTCTGTCTTAAGCTTCGATCTCATTCGTTTGGGGTTTTAATACCTTTTAGTACCTGGCAGAACGTGCCCGTTCACTTTCACTCCCTCTGCCTTTCCTTTGGTGGTGCTCATGTAATTGTTCAAATGGGAATTCCTAACATTGTTCAAATGGGAATTCCTAACATTGTGCAACTTCCCAAAATCGATCAGCTGATTTCCTGGAAAAAGGACACAGCTGAAAGTGTTTTTGCCAAGAACAAACACTGACAGAGACAGACGGAGGCGGAGAAATGCCTCCCACCTGTTTGTTACGGAGCGTCCCAGTTCAGGCAGATTATACACACGGATCATCTAAAAACGGAGGAGGATGGGCCGGCCCAAACACCGCCTCTGGACTAAAACGCTTCTCATGCAGACGACAAGTTAAAAGCAACAGCCAATTAAGTTCTGCTCATTTCAACCCATTCTGGTCCTTGGAACCACTTCACAGAGGCGTGACTGAATCCAGACGGCCGGCTCTGAAGGAAAGACCTGCCTGCACGAGTGTTTGGTTCTGTCAGAACCGCTGATCTATCCGGTGTCAGATCGCTTCCAGGCGTTCTGGCAGGCAGAGCAGCATGTCAGAGAAGGTGAAAGCAGCCAGCGTGCCTCTGTGTCCCGTGAGCTCCGAGGATGACCCAGAGCAGGAGCTGCTGTGTATCTTTGGGACCGGGGACTTGGGGCGCTCACTGGGCCAGCGTCTGATCCAGGCTGGCTACAGGTTGGTGTACGGCAGCCGCAGACCCCACAGCTGTGGCCCCCTGCCTCCAGGAACTCAGGTAGCCGAGCAAAGCCAGAACAGGAAAAAACCAGCCGCTTTTGTCTGTTTTTGTCTTAGTTTACAGTTACTGCTCACGTAAACGCGGGTAAGAACCATTACTGCTGTTATTGTCTTGCTTTTAGCCAGATGTGGTCACGTGTTGATCATTTTCAGCCTCTATGGTCCACACAAACACAGACGTGCACACTTAAAACAACAAAATGTGTTTCTGGTTGATCCAGTGAGCTAACTTCAGGTACTGATGATCATAATCAGCAAACCGAATGTCTTTGCTTTGTTTCCTAACCTGTTTCACACGTTTGAAAGGATCCATGAAGGCTTTTGGTAATTAGGGAGAAAAGCTTCATTTTTCTTTTAATTTCATCTCAGTTTAGCAAAGAAACGTGTTGGATGTAGAACCGGGAACCAACCTGAAGCCCGAGGCTTGGATGCTGGTTTCCACGGCGCGGCTGTCACGTTTTGCGGGTGGAGATGGTGGACCATGTGTGGTGGTGGGTTCCGGGCGCAGAAGAGCAGGCACGGATAACGTAAAAACGAATTTAATTACTGAACGGGAACGGCAGGAACAAACACGAAGGTGACTACTAACAACAACAATGATCTGACAATGCCAGGAACAAAGAGGGAGGTATAAATACACAGAACAATCAGGGAACACACGGGCAGGCTAATGAGAGACAGGTGAGAACTATAAGGGTAATCAAGGCAGGAGAGGAACACAGTCAGGAGGGCAGGGGCAGATCGTGACAGCGGCGCTTCCTGTGGCATCTGAGAACAAAGTGCTGCTCTTCTTCTGTGGTTTGCAAAAGTCAAACTACAACCGGAGTTTCCAACGCTTTCAGTGAATGTAGTATACTAAAACATCACGTTTACAATGCTGGCTGTTCTGTTTTAGGACCTCTTCAGCTCGTCCTGTAACTCTGCTGGTTAACCTCTAACGCAGGTTCGGACTCATGGAGGTCTGTTCTGCAGTCGCCTCTCGGTAATTCAACCAGGTTTTTAACGAGATTAAGGCCCGGCGGGTTCTCAGGTGACCAAACATTTCAATGTTTAACTCTCAAGCGTCTCAGTCACTTGAACCCCTCCCTCGATGCTCACCACACTGCCGGGTGGTTGGCAGGAGCTCCTCTTTGAGGACGTTCTTTATCCACGGCTGTTCTGGGGCTAAACTCTCTTGGCTGAGAGGCGGGCCCACACATCAACGGGCTCAGGATGCCTCACTGTTGGCACGACACAGCGCTGTTGGCATCAGTGGGAAATATGATTCCCTCCTGTTTACAGCAGCCTGGTCTCCAGACCTTCAGCAGAAGATCAGTCTGACCCAGTTGGCCTCTCTGCTGCTCTTCTTGACCCCTGACCTTCCTCCTGAAGTCTTCTTCTCACTGTGACGCTCTCCCACCTGCCAGGCCTGGCCAGCCATCCCATGCTTCCTTATGGGAAGCATTCTAGTTCCCTGTAGAGTTAAACAGAGGATGAGTCTGGCAGCCCAGGCCTGCTGGTGCCTCCATCCACAGCTGGATTTCCTGTAGGGACTGACTCTGAAGCTTGCTGGAAATTGTTTTTTGAGGATTAAATTGATTGGATTGGATCTGAGGGCTGGTATTAATAAACATCAGGAGGCCGCTTTGCGATCTCCATGGACATCAGCGTTGTGTCTGCGTGTGTGTTCCCACAGGCGACGAGTCACGAGGCCGCAGCACAGTCAGCACAGCTGATCTTCCTCTGTGTTCACAGAGAACATTACGACTTTCTGGAGTCCCTGACACCTCAGCTCAAGGGCAAGGTGATTGTCTGCACAGTTTGTGGAACGTTTGTTTCCTCTTTCAATCAAATGAACTGAGTTCCTTGACTGATAGGTGGTGGTGGATGTGAGCAACAACCTCAAGAGGGATCTGTACCCGGAGGCCAACGCTGAGCATCTGCAGAGGTGAAGCCAAATCAGACAACCCCTTCATCCAGACTGGTCTCGTGGGTCGTGTGGTGAACGCCATCAGGAAGCTTGACGCAAAGGTTTTGTTTACTGTGCAGGCTGATCCCCGGAGCTCATGTGGTGAAAGCGTTTAACACCTTGTCTGCTTGGGCTCTTCAGAACGGACCATCAGACGCCAACAGACAGGTAAGGACATGTCAGCGATGCTGAAGCGTCTCCTCTGAAAACAAGTTCTCCTCCTTCAGTTTTCGTGTCTCTGACGTGTTTGCTCGGTGAGCGCTAACTCGCCCATCAGAGCATTTCAGTTTACATCCTAGTAGCTCATTCTGAAGCTTTCATCAAATTCATGTAGTCACCCATCGGTTCCAGCATGAATCTGTGGTGAATTAACCCAACGGTCTTACATCTGTGCTCCCCATCACACGTCTCTCTCTCTCTCTCTGTAGTGCAAAGCTGCAGCACATGTGGGCTTTCTCTGTTCTGTTTTCATCTCATCGTGAAGTCTCCGAGGACAGAACAGAAAACAAAAACACAGAGAGAGTTCATGTTTATGCACGGGGGAGGGAGTATGTGGAGCAGCATCAGCAACATCACAAAGGTGTTGACTGAGCGTTGCTATTTTATACCTGTTTTCTACTCATTTTAGCACTTCATGCAGGAAGCCGTGGTTTCACTGTGCACCTTTCATGTTCAGTTCCCTGGAGTCAAGTGAATCCTTTCATCACCGCATGTACACATGCACGAATACATGCATATTACCAACAATCTACAGTACACTCCTCAGATGGTCTCAATGCTGTGGAAACGTTTCATGCTCCAGGTGTACCTGTGTGGGAACAGAACCGAGGCGAAGCAGGCGGTGGCAGAGACGGCTACCAAGCTGGGCTTCACTGTTGTGGATAGAGGGTCTCTGTCTGCAGCCAGAGAGCTGGAGGACTCCCCCCTGCAGCTGTTCCCAGACTGGAGGCTGCCTATGCGCTTGACCGTTGGCCTCACTGCCTTCTTTTTCCTCTATGTGGTCATCAGAGATGTCATCTACGCTTACGTTGAACAAAGGAAGGACATCTCCTTCAGGATCATGGTCTCTCTGGCAAACAAGGTGAACACAAGTGTTTCACCTAAAAACCAAAGCACTCATCTTCTATCTTCATCTTCATCTGTGTGTACCTGACGTTTACAGGTGTTTCCTATCGTGTCCCTCATCATGCTGTCTCTCTGTTACCTGCCTGGAATCATGGCTGCCTGCCTGCAGCTCTCCAGAGGAACCAAATACAAGTTAGCGATGAACAAGAACTGACATTTAAAAGAAACGTTCTGCCCGTTTCAAACGTGTTTCTGTGTAAAATGCATAAATACTACAATCTGTAGACAGCTGTATGAATATATAGCAGCAATCTGCGATGTCTTCACTGCACTAGCCGTTAGCTCATCAATCCTGTAAGATGTTGACCATTTCTCAGAACAAAGATCCAAAGAAACACACTTGAACAGTTCCAAGGACGTTGAAACGGACCTGATGCATGTGAATGTTTCTGATCAGGCGCTTTCCCGACTGGCTGGACCGCTGGATGCTGTGCAGGAAGCAGCTGGGTCTGGTGTCTCTGGCCTTAGCATCCCTGCATGTGCTGTACACTCTCATCATCCCTATAAGGTAGGTGACACCTTCTCACCGAGTAACTCTGATAACCTTTTGTCTTTCACATGCCCACAGTGCCAGGCGATGTGTGATTAGTGTTAGGAGTTAATGCACGGCAGCTTACTTCACCCGAGGATTTTTAGACTTCATTTGACTAATTTAAACAGTTAAAAACAAAAAGAGAACACCTTTAAAGGTCCAGTTTGCACGGTCTAGTGACATCTATAGGCTGAAAATAAAAAATACATTTAAACTTTTCCTAACGTTCCAGCGTCCAACTTCTGAATAAGCCTTTTGTATTTTAGCCCGTGCTGCCACTTTAACTCGGTGTTGAACGAGCCGAATTAGTGCAACACACTCCTGTCAAACACGTTTGCCCACACACGTGTCACTAATTGACACTGAAGGGCTTCTGAATGATACTGCATCACGCTGACCTGCAGTAAATGTTTCAGTTAACCCGGTGACAGTAACACTCGGCGCCGCTGTTACCGTCATGAAGCAAAGTCGGTTCTGTTCAGGAAGAGAATCGTGTTCATCTGCTGCAGACCTTCAGCTGAAAGACAGCTTCGATTCAGTTCAAGCTGCAGCAACGTTACAAAACACAAGAAGCACCGATCACATCAGAACATCTGTTATTAGTCCAAAGAGTAGCTTAGAAATACAATATATAATTAATTTAGAGTGTTTTACTTTAAATTGTTTTCTTGTTTTCCTCCCTAGATACTATGTGAGATACAGACTCGCAGCGATTACCATCTCACAGGTAACAACTAGTACACCTGACAGCTTTGGAGGCGGGCGTTTGTCGTTTAAACGTGTTCTGCTTTATTTTTGTCACGCTAAGATCCGGGAGAACAAAACGACTGCGTTTGACACGACCATGGCCTGGAGAACCGACTCTTACTACTCCATGGGAGTTCTGGGATTTGGTCTGTTTCTCCTGTTGGGAATATCTTCTCTTCCTTCTGTCAGCAACATTCTCAGCTGGAGAGAGTTCAGCTTTATTCAGGTGGGCGTTAGCACGCTTCATCACATCAACATTCAAACTGAAACCCGAGCTGAGCCACAGCGTTTAGCTCTGACACCGCATCAGGTTGTGGAAAGAGGCAGCAACATTTTTAAAGCAAGTCGTGATTTTCTTCCACTATTCAGCCACTAAAGCGGTAAAGTGGTGGGGTTGTGTTGGTGTGGATGCGACCAGATGTTCCCAAAGCTGGGGTCAGGACCTCACCTCACTGAAGGTCATCAAACACCTGGTGTGGGAAAGAAAAGCTCCACCGAAACCAAAATGACTGAAAATGTTTGCTTGGAGCTAATTTAGTCCAAAGTGCCTTAAAACGTGGAAATATTATAATTTCCTTATCAGGGTCTTTGTTAAAGGTGTGGATCACTGAAATGCCCCGTTTACAGGATTATTTCTGATTCTGACGGGCCTCTCTGAGGCTGAACATGAGAATAGTCTCCTACACCTATCTCCTGCATCAGCTTCTGATAGAAAATAGTCTCCTACACCTATCTCCTGCATTAGCTTCTGATAGAAAATAGTCTCCTACACCTATCTCCTGCATTAGCTTCTGATAGAAAATAGTCTCCTACACCTATCTCCTGCAGTAGCTTCTGATAGAAAATAGTCTCCTACACCTATCTCCTGCATCAGCTTCTCATAGAAAATAGTCTCCTACACCTATCTCCTGCATCAGCTTCTGATAGAAAATAGTCTCCTACACCTATCTCCTGCATCAGCTTCTGACAGAAAATAGTCTCCTACACCTATCTCCTGCATCAGCTTCTGATAGAAAATAGTCTCCTACATCTATCTCCTGCATCAGCTTCTGATAGAAAATAGTCTCCTACACCTATCTCCTGCATCAGCTTCTGACAGAAAATAGTCTCCTACACCTATCTCCTGCATCAGCTTCTGATAGAAAATAGTCTCCTACACCTATCTCCTGCATCAGCTTCTGACAGAAAATAGTCTCCTACATCTATCTCCTGCATCAGCTTCTGATAGAAAATAGTCTCCTACACCTGTCTCCTGCATCAGCTTCTGACAGAAAATAGTCTCCTACATCTATCTCCTGCATCAGCTTCTGATAGAAAATAGTCTCCTACACCTATCTCCTGCATCAGCTTCTGATAGAAAATAGTCTCCTACACCTATCTCCTGCATCAGCTTCTGACAGAAAATAGTCTCCTACATCTATCTCCTGCATCAGCTTCTGATAGAAAATAGTCTCCTACACCTATCTCCTGCATCAGCTTCTGACAGAAAATAGTCTCCTACATCTATCTCCTGCATCAGCTTCTGATAGAAAATAGTCTCCTACACCTATCTCCTGCAGTAGCTTCTGATAGAAAATAGTCTCCTACATCTATCTCCTGCATCAGCTTCTGATAGAAAATAGTCTCCTACATCTATCTCCTGCATCAGCTTCTGATAGAAAATAGTCTCCTACACCTATCTCCTGCAGTAGCTTCTGATAGAAAATAGTCTCCTACATCTATCTCCTGCATCAGCTTCTGATAGAAAATAGTCTCCTACACCTATCTCCTGCAGTAGCTTCTGATAGAAAATAGTCTCCTACACCTATCTCCTGCAGTAGCTAATGATAGAAAACAGACGGTGAAACTCTAGGATAGAAAATCCTGACAGATCTACGTCACCCTGTCACTAACATTCATGGATTCACCCATCTGAACTCACGACGGGGAAGGCTGTTGTTGGTTTAGCATCCAGGAAACAGCAGAGAATGTCTCAGCTAGTAGAAGCTAACTGTTAGGGGAAAACAACTTGACCTAAGAGTAAAAACAAAACCTGAAGACAAGAAGATCAAGATAAACAACTAATGATCTGAGGAGAACTAAAAACCAGTGGAGACAGAAACACACTAAAAACAGACTAATTCAATGAAAAGCTGAACCTGTAGGAAAAAACTACAGAAAGAAAGACTAGAGGTGTGAATGAGGGAGACCACGGGAGCACAGGACCTGGGGGATACCTGGGGAGGGGGAAACCTAGAGGGGCTGCAGATCAGGGGACACATGAGGAAGATGCAGACGCAGACATGACAGATTCTGTTCAAACTCAAACGCCTCTCCTTTAGCCATCGTTTCACCTCAACAGGCTCAGATGTTTACCTTTTCCCTCACGTTGACCAACGGCAACCAGCGAAAAAACTCATTCATAAATGTATCTGGGTCATGTCAAGCTAATTTTCTCACTCCATCCTGCCCCGTAACTCCTGCATGAATTGGAGCGACTCCGTAAATGTTAAGTTATTCATCACATGTAATTCGGGAACACACATTATCCGGAGCTGCAGTCTCACCGTTTTCTTCGTGCACGCTCTCAGTCGTGTGGGTGCTTTATGTGAGCTTTTATTCCCTGGAGACGAGTTGAATAACCTCCATAAAATCTGTGTGCATAAAGAAATTCTGGCGTCTCTGCATATGTGCTCAGCAGCTCGTCTTCGCAAAGGTCAATCCGACTCTGCAGATCCTAACCAAGGTCATCTTCAGGATGGTTCAAGGGAATGCTCAGAGTCACCGAAGACCATCATTATGAAATACTTCCATTTATTGTACTCTCATAAATCTGGTTTAGTCTGGCTCCAGACGTGTGTAAAACCTTTTTTTCTGTTTTTCAGTCCAAGTTGGGATACCTGACACTGTTCATCTGCACGTTCCACACCTACCTGTACGGCTGGGACAAATTCCTTCACCTCGCCTCCTACAAATGGTTCACTCCACCCAGCTACATGCTCTGTCTGATAGTACCTTCAGCGGTGCTGCTGCTCAAGATGCTGCTTCTGCTGCCCTGTGTGGATAAACGTCTGACTCGGATTCGGCAGGGCTGGGAGCGGGCTGATCCCGAGGACGGCACCAGGAAGTCACTCCTAACGTAGGACGGTCACAACCACACAGACTCCGATGAGAAGAACAAAAATACATTATTCACGGTCTTTAAAGAGTATTCTACGCCACATAACCACCTCCAATAAAACAGTCAGAGCTACAAAAATCTTTCTGTGCATTTTAACACTTTGGTGCCGTATTTTTAAAAGCATCCGTTTTTATCCATCACTTTATAAACATGCGTACATTTATCCAGAATAACAGGAGACACGCTATTTTATTTCTTCTCTGTCTGAAGTTTTAAATGTGCAAACCTCACTTTCTGCATCCTTTAGTGCTGCCAGGTGGGTCTGTCTCTATAAACACCCACATGTGGATGTAAACCATCGGCCCTTGGTCCCTTATTGCAGTGCTTCCCAACCCTGGCCCTCAGGGCACGGTCCTGCATGTTTTCCATGTTGCCCTGCTGCCACGCACCTGACTTATATGAATGAGCGACCGACAGGCATCTGCAGCACTTGATGTCCTGCTGAGAAGCCAATGTAAATCAGGCGTGCTGAAGCAGCGACATCGAAAACATGTAGGACAGTGCCCCTGAGGACCAGGGTTGGGAAACACTGCCTTATTGTGATGTCACAATAAGGAAATTAGCACACAGCACAGCCCATCTGTCTGAGGTGTGGCTCTACTCTGAGCCCCTCCCAGGGCTCTGAGCTCCTCACCCCAAAGTAGCCAGTTTGGGTGGGTGTGGCCGGCTCCAGCTGGTTTTCTTAAAGAGACAAAGCCCTGAAGTGGCTCATTCTGGAAGGTACTGAAAGGTCAAGAATAAATCTGCTGAAATAGTTTCATGTGAGAGAAATGTAAGGCAAAGAACTTCATAAACACGTTTTGTATTGACCGCAGAAATATTATAACTTTTTAAATGTCATCGTGTGTTCCTTTAACAACAAGTTTCTCTGATGTTTATTCACTTTATTCCTTTTCTGAACAGTTTAAAAATGCCGTGTTGTTTTCTGTAACGTTGTTTTTCATATAACACGTTTATCATTTGTCAAAACTAAAAAAATAAATAAAATATATCTTTTTTTCCACTTCTAGATGTTTTATTATCTAGAAACTGCACTGAACGACTAGTTGCTCAAACAGGTTGGTTGGTGGCACTGTTGCCTCGCAGGTCGCAGGTTAGATTCCCAGTGTGTCCCAGTTGTTTGTCTTTATGTGACCCTGTGATGGACAGGTGACCTGTCTAGGGTGTCCCCTGCCTCTCACCCCACGACCACTGGAGATCATATTGCAGTAGTTCAGCAGGCTGAGCAGGTTGTCCAGCAACTGGAAGGTTGCGGGTTCAATCCCAGCTCTGACCAGAGAATTCTGCTGTTGTGTCCTTGGGCAAGACACTTAACCCACCACCCTGCCTGCTGGTGGTGGTCGGAGGGACCGGTGGCGCCTCGACTCTGTCAGTGCGCCCCAGGGCAGCTGTGGCTACATCGTAGCTCATCACCACCCTTATGTGAATGGATGAATGGTACACTGCAGTGTAAAGTGCTTTGGAGTCCTCTGACTGAAAGGTCATTTACTTTCTGTTTCCAGATTAAATCTTCACTCTTTTCATTCTGGAGTCATTTGGAGAGTGACTCAACACGACAACTCCCCCAGTTCAAACACAAATGTGAACGTTTGTGGGGGGGGGGGGGGGAGGCAAGCCCCTTACAGACCAAACAAGTCTGTCTTTGCCAGTCAGACTCCCGGCACAAGAACGCTGCTGCGGGTTACTGAAGGCGTCCATCACACCCACCGTGGCTTCGACTCCATCTCTACCTTCAGGAAAGCTGCTGATTAAAGGACCGAGACTTGTGGTAAAATAATGACCTCTTCCAGATTTATTCTGGTTTCTCCACATGCTCTCCATGCCTCGTGGTCACCTGACCGGAGCGCTAAAGTTAACCCTTTCTTGTCACATCTCGGCTCCTCCTCAGGAGGCTGTGATGTAAAAGCTGGGATTGCAAGATGTGTGTGAAGAGGGGATTATATCTAATCTGTGCAGCCAGTAAGAAAATAATTTAAAAAAGTGACTGTACATAGAGAGAATGGTACCAGGGATGCGCCTAACACATTTT